AATAAATAAATAAATAAATAAATAAATAAATAAATAGCACTCTGCCTGCAATGCCTGTTCACCGGCATTTTATTTCAGACTTTACGTAAGAGGGTCTCAAGTCACCTGTAGATGAAGAGGTGTTTGGGGGTAGAACCTGAAAGGTTCTTGGTTTCTGACTTCTTAGTTTCTGCTGCTGCTGCTGCTGTTGCTGCCACCTTGAAGATCATGAGATCTTGTGTGTAACTCTAACCCTTTCCACTCCAAGGGCTGGCTTCCCTGCTCCTCATTTTCTAGGCCAAGCCAGAGGACAAACAAGCATTCAGGTGCCTCTCCGTCCACTCCTTGCTTCTTTTGCTATGACAGATGTGGGGAAGATGGAAGTTGCAGCACAGGCACATTCTATGTGAACAGGCCTGCTCATATAGCTCAGGCAACTCCACTTTTTAAGGCTCCTCCTAATGTTAATGAAAATAAATTATGACAACATACAAAAAATGGAGAAAGCTTGCCCTTTCCTCTCAGTAAAAAGACTACTGTGCCCAGATCTGAGATTATCGCTTCAGGTCCTAGTCATACAGCTTCTCAATCCCCCGTCCCCTCTGGTTCTGTAGAGGGGGAGGAACTTTTTTGCCCACCTGGTTTATTCCTTGAAAATTTGAGTTTCTCAATTCTTTCAGGGCAATGGTGGAACCCAACCAATTTGGCTAAATATCCATATGTTTTTAAAGTGTGATCCCAAACTATGTGGGGCTCTCTGCGGGGTCTGCTGGATCTAGCCGTCCTTCTAGGACAGTTTAACCATGTGGTTTAACATAGTTCTTGCAACATTCAACACCTCCAAGGAACTTACATCACCTGTTTGATGGTGTCTATAATTCACTGGTATAAGAAGGAGTGAGGATCATGAACCTAGCTGATTTTTGTTTAGGAAGGTTCTATTAATGGCTGCAAATTAAACTAAAAATTAACACCCTATTTCTGGGCAATTTACCCTTGGATACTAGTTGAGAGGGGAGGAGGGAGAATGAAAGCCAACTACTAAAGCCTTGATGCCCTTGGGATCTTCCTGGAGATACCTTGATGGCCATTAGTGGAAACCAGGGCTTTTCTAATGCAAGGATTTTGAACATCACAATTGCAGCAGTTTTCTCCACTCCACTTTGGTGACAAACTTTTTGATGTTTTACTGAAGGTGAATAGAAAGATCAGCACATTAGTATAACCAATGCTTCTTACATGCATGAGAAGAAGAGGCTTTTTCATTTGGGCAGCTTTGCATCGGGAACATGCTGGATTTTAGGAGCACAGGCAGTATTGAAAGCCTTGGTGATACTGAGATCTCAAAACCTGCCAAGTACTTCCAGTAGTAGAGAAAACTGAAGCTCAAGTTTGAACAGTTGGGTTTTTGGTGTTCTTTGAGTTTAGCTATCTTCTTGCAGATATTTCATTACCTAGCATGGCACGTGCATCTGGAAGTCAAGGAAAGAAAGCCCAGTCTTGTCCCCTTCCAGAGGTATTGTCAACCCTATAGGGCAGAACAGACTAAGAAACCAATGCCATGTACGTCTAGTATTACTTTTATTAGGATAGCTATAGTACTAGAATCTTGCATGTCTGAATGTGCTTCCCCCTTCCCTCACTTTATCTTTGTGTGAATTAGAGAGAGGCCTGTCTGAGATGTTTATGCAATGGGTTTCTTGGAATAGGCTCGAACTGCGCTTGTCTGGTTTTTGCCTTGGTAGAGACTCTTCCTCCTATCCTTCAAGGCCATTCCTTCTTCCCTCTATAGGTATGAACCAGTTGGGAGAAATCTGGCTCCTGACTCAGTTCTATCTCTTGGAGTGGGGGCAGGGGCGGGGGCAGCTTGCTGATGGCCTTATTCATGTGAGCTAGTATTTCAGAGCTACTCTGATAACATCTATGGTCATTGTCCATGGTCTGCCACGGACCGCACATTTTTAGAATAGATGCAAAACAACCAAGTTGAATTTCAGACAGCCCTGCATCTGCTTCTGTTATGCAATTGGGATGGCTCTCATTTTTAATTCTTCAAAAAAAAAGAAAAAGAAGAGGTACACTATAATCAAACACAGGGATAACATATTAATTAATATAATTAAGGCTGAAATCCTATAATGTTTAGGAGCAACTTGTTTTGTGAAATACAGCAGTGTGTCTCTTTGAAAAAATTACAGTGAAAGGGAGCCATCCCCAAATAATTTTGCTAAGATGTCGTCTGCTCTCCATGCCAGCCTACTTATTCAATTGTTTCTCCCTACCAACAGCAGAAACCATTTCAGAGCAACAGAGATTCCTACACAAAACTGTGCACGAAAATGCCAAGGTGCCTTGTGACTTCCCAGTTCACAGAGAAACTATTACAAAGTTAAATGCCTACCTGCTGAGAGGAGTAGAAAGAGAAACACTTTATGAAGTAAATTGGAACAACTCCAAAACTGAGGTCAAGATAAACAGCTCTGAATACAAGTTCGACATCACTATTGCAAACAAAGAATATTATGCAGTGTTTCACTTGAGGAACTTGCAGATCAGTGACACAGACAGTTACATCTGCAAGATTGACGTGATTGACCCACCACCATATGGAACCAACAGCAGCAGGACTTTAATTTATGTGAAAGGTAAAATCCTGAAGTTCATTTCTAATTGGTCAGCTAGACATATAACCCTTATTAACTATAGGCCTGCCCATATTTAAATTGTTGCTTAAGCTGGCTTCTTTGATTTCAGAGCCAAAGACCCCTGATTTAGATGGCTGCCCCTGCACTGAGCCATTGCCTGCCACAGCCACCCCACTGCAATGCTGTTTGCCAGCAACTGGTGGTTAAGAAACAGGTCCTAGACAGGAGTTCAGCAACTATTTTCCTTCAAAGTCTAGGTGATGCTTTTGAGCAAAACATTTGAAAATAGCATAACAATAAACCAGGCCGTTTGAATTTCAGTTAGTTGTGCATCCAGTTAATTTGTCTTCTGGCATTTGTGGAAGATGACATACCTAAATGAATGTGAAAGGATACTTTGTTTTGAAGTGACTGAGCTCACTGTGTTCCTGTCAATCCTCAGATCTTCCGCAGTCTCAAGAAAAGGCAGATTACTTGAACGTGGCAACAGGGATTCCACTTGGATTTTTTGTTTTGTACAGTGTGATAATCACAGCAGCCGTTTGCTACTGTTGGGTAAGAAATCATTCTTTCTCACTATGTTATCTACATTTAGTACTACTCAGATGTAGCCAGTGAGAAAAATATTACCCGAGGGAATGTAAAACTTTCCCACCTCTGTACGCGTGTGATATAATGGAGCAATGCACCTGCCAACATTTTGGATTTCCCTTGGGACTACGTTTATGGGGGCTCTCATGGTGGGGTTGTGTACTGGAAATATTACTATTAAATCGAGTCCCCTCAACTTATAGACAGACGAGCAAGCAAGCAAATTAAAAAACAAACAAACCATTATCTGCCTTTTATACGGTCCATATTTCTCTTCCCTTGCTTGGAGTCTGGCTCTAACTAAAGCTCAGGGCAATCAGCATTGCCTAGCAAGTATATCTGCATTTGCGGGCATCACACTGCTGGAATGGAACAAGGATGCCCATGAAGTGCCTGTGATAAACCAGATGGCACATCTCTGGGAGGCTGATTGTGCTTGACTTTTGAGCAATGCGTTGGGAGGCCTCTCCAAAAAGCAGCTGGGACCAGGAAGAAGGAAGAAGGACTTGCTTGGCAGGGGAGATACCTTGATCGTGATTATGTGATCGGTGACAGTTGCATCATGACATATGATATGAATACCTAAATCATATCATTTGCAGACGAGATCATGAAGCAGAGGTCATCATTTGCCCTCCTGTGGTCCCATGCTCTTCCTTTAAAAAACAAAACAAAAACTTTAAAGCTTTTTACCAGTGTCACCCCTTGGCCCTATTAAAAATTACATGGTTTCAACTTTTGGAGAGTCAGGGAAGTCTCACTGAATTTGTTAGGAAGTTGCACATGGCCCTGGGGATTGTACCCCCTGCGTGTAACCAAATGCATGTTATTGATATGTTAAAGCATACTTTTCTGAAATTCATGTGTGCCCATTTATAAAGACAGAGGCAATCTCTTCTGGCTCCTATTGCACATATTATAACGAAGCCAGACTGGAAAAAGTGTAAGTTACTTCTTCATCTGCCTGATAACCAGTAACAGAAACCTTGCTCCCTCATTCATCTTACACACCTTCCCATAAGGAGCTACACAAGGTTCTCCTTCATAAAAGATTTCATGGTATGAAGAAGAGATGCACATTAGCCTTCCATTTATTTGACATGACATGAAGGTGAAACCTCATTTATCTTGCTTGTGGGAAGACGTGTCAGGTGGGATTCTACTTCCTCTTTCACTGAGTATTCAGAAGGACGATATACAAATCAATATTTCATTGGTCCTAGTAGTGATGTTCAATGAAATGTTCATTCCTTGAATGACAGATTCTTCCCATTGCCTCCTTATTGTTTTTCATGCAGCTGAAAAGCAAGAAAAATAGGGTCCTTCAGAAGGACTATTTTAACATGATGCCCTGGCAATCTAATGGACCAAGGAAAAGGCCCCCCCAGCTTGGTGTTCCAGTAAGGAACTACACTGCATACCGTTCATGGGAACCTTGATGAATAACTTCTCTATGGTGGAAATAAGAACAGCCTAGCCACAGCAAAGTGAGACTGTTTTCGAAGAGACATATCTTGCTGTTCTTAGATCTGTGAAGGACAAAAGCTCTTTGTAAGCAACGTTTCAAGTTGGGTAGGAAAGAAGAAATTAGCAACATTACGTTGGAAACAGGGGGAGGTGAGATCACCCCCCCCCTTTTAAGCAAATGATGGTTCCAACTGCATTTCTGATCTTTCTACTTTTGTCTTAACAGAAGGTTTATAAAGATCACATTCAAACTCTGGCAAAGAGCAGAGGTAAAAAATCTGTCATCTTTCATATCAAAGAGAAAATGCTGAATTTATGGATTAAACATACACTTAAGAAACAAGAAGCATCCAGCTTGGTGGGATTGGGACTATAAAGAACAGTTTTCTATTGGAAATGAAGGGTGGGATTAGCTGGAAAGGTTTGCAATGCTGTGCAGAGCAGCCCCATTTCTTTTTATGAACAAATGATGCTTTCTGCTAAAACAATTAACCTGAAAATCATTTCTGGAAGACTTGAAGGACTAGTGGAAAATGCTGCCAATATTTTCAGTGATGTACAGATCTCCATTGATGTACTTGTATAAGCAAGATGCTGACAAAGAATTGGAGAAGCGGTAGTGAATAATTAGTGTAAGTAATTTATTGGTTATCCAAATGGTTCCAGTTCCCGCTGTAAGTAGGAGTACTTTTCTTTCTTGATATCAGATATCAGCTGAGTACCAAAATGCTGGTATGCACATAGTTCTATGATTATAGCAAAGATTAAAAGTGTTATTACTTTGCCTGATTCTATTTCCCCAGTTAATTCAATGGGCATGTAGATTCAAACCCATCTTCAACCCCTGGATAGCTTTGTGTGAGTCTCAGCCCAATTACCTCACAGAATTGTTGTAGGACAGGTGTGCAAAACATGTGGCCAGAAGCCAGACTTTCTGCATCCCTCAGAGCAGATGGAGCCATCATCAGCAACCTTATTATGGTCATTCAAGCAGAAATGGCACACTGGAATTGTTTAACATATTACAAACCTATGGATGTGTAAGTCTCCCTTTCTGTTATAAGCCAGCAATAAAATATATCAAATGACTTAAATCCTGACATCTCTCTGTCATACTAAGCTTATATACAAGTCATAACAGATACTCATTACTGAAAGTTATACAAATTATTTAGTAGATCAGAAATAAACCTCTGAGGAGTTGACTAAATGTTATCTTATAGAATTGGCTGACGCACAAGATTTGGCAATTCTTTAAAGATCACTCAGGAGGTATATAATGCATTCCCCATCCTAGTTTAGCATATTCATAATAACAGACATAATGTAAATAGATTATGTTTTTTTCTATGAAAGGAACAGTGCAGCAATATATGTTCTACTGACTCAGTCTCCCACCACAAGATCAAAAATACCACTCATACAGGATTTTCAAAACTCGTCTTGCCAAAATTGCTTATGGAATAGTATTAAATCTGCCAGAATAAACTTTTTTGTTGTTGTGGAATGCTGATATATGACAAACTGATATGAAACTGCTCTTAACATTCAATAGAAGGAGTATTGGGGGTGTGTGTGACACTTGAGTGTTTATAGATCAAAATCTTGACATTGCTCTTTAATCACTTCCTTGGACTTCTTTAGATCTAAAATGGTCATAACTTCTGGTGAAAAACCACAATGATGGAGTTTTTTCCAACAGGGCTATTTTCAAGCTATCTTTCAAGCAATCTTCCAGAACTAGTGGAATTAGCTCAAGTGGGGAAAAAATAGGTTTAGCCAAAGATTAAAATAGCATAAACGTGATCTGGCCTCATTGTCACTAATCATGTTTCTAACTCCAAAGTGGCATTAGCCATACATTTGGGAATGGGCTAAATTGATTGCAGACATTTAAACTGAACAGTCTCTAATGGACCATAGTCTTTAATAGTGTAGGCTGAAGTACCATATTTTAGCAGCTCTAAAATACCATAGGAATAACTTAACCATCTTCTTCCCCACCACATTTTTGGAGAGCAGTGGCCATTCTTCAGCAAGTTTTTGACAAGTATTTAAATTTTTTTTTTTCACTTTTTGACCTCCCCTCCTCCCCATTTTCCCATCTTTGGGAATTTAGGGGAAAGTTCTGGAGCAAATAGGTCCAAAGACTTGAAACATCCATTTTACCCCTTCAGATGTTCATCCTGTCTCCCATATAGGCCCTTGCCCTGTCTTCTTTTAAGAGAGATGCTACCCTCGAACCAACAAATGCTTCCTCTGTATTATGCAATGATGTGAATACTAATATCAAACAAAGTCCATCTAGCATTCATATTCCCTGATTTAACCCTATATCAAAATTTCATGCCTGAAAAAATGTATGGTGCTGGAGGCTGTGCACTAACTCTGGTAGTTATGCTTAGAAGACAGAGTTGAATTGGTGATGCTGCATTTCAAAAAGTTACATCAAGGACATGTATTGGTCAAGAAGTAAAAGTAGAGTTCTTTAAGTAAAAATAGATGTTTGCACAATGTTAACAGTTATATGAATTAGGGGAAGAGATGTAGAAAGAATGTGTATGTTATGAGATATTCTTGAAGTCACATTTCCAAATTTTCTACAATTAAAAAGTATGTGGAAAAAAGATTGGATTGTAGTACTGACCTACTAACACCAACAGTGAAGTGAGAAAGTTTAGTATTATCCTAAATTTGAATCAGCTTATTTTGAATTGCAAGAATCTTAGTAAATGATTAGCTGAAAACAGGCCATGCCTGTGTCCTCTAGACAATGTTTCCATTATGGGCTTATCCTGTATTTTAAATGTACTGCCAGTAACACTTTGTATACTTAATAAGATAATTCATTGCTAATCCAATCGCTCAGACTTTAAGCTGTACATTTCTGTACACTGCATAAAGGAATGGTTTCTGTCCAGAGCACTGCACCTCTTTTGTGATAGTAGCGTGAGAGTGGTGAAGTGAAATCCAGAAAGTTCTTAGTTTCAGTTGGGTTGGATCATTACTGTCTCATTATTATTGCTAGAACATCACTTGCAGGAAGACACTGAAATATATGTAAAAAGATAAGCCTGAAGTAACTTATTCTGCAGACCAACCAACTGAACTCAACAATGGAATTGTATTGCTATATTGATGCAGTCTTACCTCTCCCACTATGTATTTGTAGCCTGCTATACAGAGACTGGATCAACAGCCATGTTGTCCAACAGACTTTTAATGCACCGTTGGCACAAGCTGCATTCAGCACCTTTGAGCCAAGATTAAACAGGAATAAGGCCCAATCTCTACAGTAAAATAGTTAATACAGAATTAGTGTAACATGATTAAAAAGCTACAAAGGCTTTCCTGCTTCCATTCATTCTGTATTATAATGGATACATAAGCAACTTGCTCTGTAATTTGTTATGGAGAAGTCTCTAAGAAGAGCAATTTCACGCCAGAAGGTTGTGCTGGTGTTTTTACATGAAGATCAATAATAAAGTCAGTCAACGACTGACATAATTTTACTGGAGAGACAGCAGGCTCCAGAAGCTTCTTCTTTCACCACCACCACCATCATCATCATCACCAATCATCATCATCATCAACATCATCATCATCATCTCAATAAAGTGGGCCTGGACATTCCCTTAAGTCCATCTTCAGCATAAACATATTTTACTATGCCTACTGCAAGGCAATTTCTTCTACATAGCAAAAGAAAAGTGAGAATGCAACATTTTTCATAGCACTTTGGGGAAAACAACAGCTTTTAATGGTTATTGTGTTCCCACAGTCTAATTCATTATTTAGATCCCATATGCATTTCCCAATTCACTTTGCATGATTTTTTTTCATATTTCTTACTTGATCAATATACTATCCCAAATAGTTGCCTCACTTAATCACTGTCATGTGCTTGCTCATGTGTGTCCGTCCGTGTGTTCTTAATATAAAGTTTCTCCCTCAGAGCAACGGATCTTCCCTATGAACCTGCTGTCTCTTGAGACCATTTTTGCCTGCCTCTTTGTAGTTCTAACAACACTTGAGAGATGTTTTTTGGGAGAGGGCCTTTTGGTGGCTCCACCTCAATTTTGGAACCCACCTCTGAGAGTGGCCCATCTCTGTTCCTCACTAAGAGCTCTCTAGAAGTTGATCAAGATACTGCTTTTTAGGAGTGCTTTCAATGGATAATCTTGTGGCCATTTTTATGGGGTTGTTGTTTTAACATATTAAATGTTCTGTCAGTACTGTGGTGTGTGTTTGCTGCTGTTTTGTTGTATTATATTTCTGAGTTGGCGCTAATGTTGTGAATGATTTATGTCTCTGGAGGGCAGGTAGGTTATAAATATTTTTAATAAAATAAATGACACATTCATTACTATCCCCCCCTTTGCTCTATAAGGAGCAAGACCTCACAGCTCTTTCAGCACTGATTTCATTCTAGTTTTCTCAAGACGCTTTACAAGAGCCACGTGGACGCTGTAAGAACCATGTGGTTTCATTCAGAGATCAGCCTTACAAGAAAGCCAAATTCTTTTTTGACTCTAGCAAGAAAAACACTTACTTAATCATGCTCTTTATCAAACATTTCTGACTTGGCAGACGCAACTGAGTTTGAAAATTAAAGGAAAGGGCTTGAGGAAGTATGTTCCCATGTTGACACACTTCTATTTCTATCCCATGTTGCCTCTGATTAAACAGGACTTGAAACTACAAGAACTGGCCAAACTGGCCTGTTCATGCGAGACAATAGTGGTATGAATGTAATTATCATGGGCAGCAGTTCCTCTTCCAAGCTGCCTTCAGTTCTCTTATGTACCTTTGGCAATATCATTAAATGGAAAAGGGGTTATTCTATCGTGCCCAGCTAGGTGGCAGCCTCTATTCCAGTGTCTCTCAACCTTAAGCAATTTTAAGATGAGTGGACTTCAACTCCCAGAAGAGTTGGCTGGGGAATTCTGGGAGTTGAAGTCCTCTCATCTTAAAATGGCTAAGGCTGAGAAACACAGCTCTATTCAGACTTGGCTGATCTTGTAAAGCTTGGCTGATCTTGTAAAGCTGGACTGGGAAGTAAAAAAATACCCTGGAAGAAGAGAATAACAACTTTCTTCTGTACTGTTGTCAAGAAGACTTCATCCACCATGAGCTGAGCTAGACATGAAGGAGATTTTTACTGCAGTGTGTATTTTGTATTGTTTCTTCACTCAAAGAAGTAGAAACACATTTTTCTTTTCAATTTGATATCAAACCAATTATTTGTTGAAGGGTAAAACAATCCCTTTACTTTGGACACTTGGAATCATTGCTGTCACTGTTGAGATGAGTATACATGTTGCATTGGTACCTTGGTGGATTTTTTTCTTCATTTATGTGTATATGTGAGTGACAATTGCTGTATGAATAATGTACCCATGACATACATTTGAAGGAAAGCAGACTGAGCAGACTATTACAGAATATTGTTGATTTACTTACTAGGGAGCCAGTTTGGTGTAGTGGTTAAAGCGTCAGACTAGAAACCAGGAGACCATGAGTTCTTGTGCCCATCTGAGGCACGAAGCCAGCTGGGGTATCTTGGGCCAGTCACTCTCTCTCAGCCCTAGGAAGGAGGCAAGGGCAAACCACTTCCGAAAAACCTTGCTAAGAAAACTGCAGGCAGTCAGCAGGAGTCAACACTGACTTGAAGGCACATATGTACGTAGACTTGGTTTAACTGTTTTTTAGGAACAGAAATGAGAGTAACTGCTGAGATTAAATGAGAAAAGATAGAATTTTATCCTAGGTAAATTCTTCAGCCTAAACTGATTGGCAGCTTAGCAATCAGTGGAAAACCTGAGATAGTTATATCCTGCACACATCTGAAGCTAGAAGGTGTTAACAACCATTATGATAAAATATAAGAAAACAGAAAACTGCTTACATATTATTTTTTTTAAATTGCTGCTTTTTGCAATCTCCTTTTCGATAAACTAATGGAAGTGTTCAATTATTTTAATAAATACATAGATACAGTATATACATATACTGTATCCTTATGCCAAGTTTGAAGTTGGCCTACTTAGCTGAATATTTGCTACCATACAGCAGACGCTATAGATTACTGCTACTGCTTAATCAAAACATGCACTAAAAACCTTAAAACACACATTATAGTTCCGTATGGACAGGTCTGTCTTTTTGTAGACAGGAATATTTACCAAATTTATTCAACTGCATTCTGTACAAATAATAAAAAAGTACACATAAATACTAGTACATGTCTATTTCTTCCATTGAACATTGTTCCATTTTGGGGTATTATTCTTCTGCACATTTTTGCAACTTTTTTTTTCATTCAACACTGAACGTTTGAGCATTGCTAACACATCTGAAAAACATTTTACCTTAATATATACATGTTGTGCTTACTTTTCTAAATCACAGAATATTCTTTAAAGTATACATATCGACATGCATATAAAATTCAGTTTATTTTGGATGTGTCAAACTGATTTATTTGTATACAGTGCTGCGGGAACAAGTTTCTTAGTGTCCCTCCAGTGTTTGGCAACCGAGCCTCTCTAGATCTTATTGGCTCTTTCTGATTAAAGGTGTTGACGGCTTAAGCGGACATCAGCATGAAGCTCATGTTCTCTATTGAGCTCTGAAATAAAGACAAAGAAGCCTTCATCCTGTCCATGAATTCTACCATATGGGAGACTTTGAATAATTGCCTTCCTCTTGAATGCGTTTCTCCTTGCAGCACAGGCTCCAATATTTGCTCTTTGTGCCTGACTCTGCTCAGCCTGTAAGTAAATAAGTACCATCCTGAGTTTCTTCTCCTGCAAAAGGAAGGGGATGGTCTGGAGAAGGTGGCCCTAGACATGCAACCTTTGACGTAGGAGGTGGGTCCACTGTTCTATCCATGTACTCTCTTCCATGTCTCTTTCCCTGGAAGCCACAATGCTGCTTACCAGTCAGTTCCATGCCTGCCCCAAATAAGCTGTTCAAGAACACTCTCAGTGGCAGATGGTGGCAGCCACCTTGGTGCTCTCCCTCAGAGGCACCTACTCCAGAGAGCTGTAGGCTTTCATCAGTCAAATGAAGAGCCTGCTCCAGGGAGCCGATTAGGAGGGCAAACAATAGAATTCTATTGGGGCTTCTCATCATTCCTCGTTCCAGCCCATTTCCAAAGTGGCAGCTTCACTCCATTCAATGGTAGGGTGAGCCTGGCCGTCAAAAGCTGCTCTGAAGTTTCCACAAAACAGCAACGTATCATTAAGCACGTGGGTATTACTGTACTGTAGTAAAGCTGTTCCTCCCAAGAATTGGCAGCAACTGCTCCAAAGTTCATATAATAGAAAATGATTAAACAGAATGTAGTTTGCTTCTGCCTTA